CCCAACAAAGTATATATATTCTTGATCAGCGTAAATTTCTAAGTCGATTTAGCGACGTCCGTCTGTCTGTCTGTCTGTCCGTCTGTCTGTCTGTTGTAATCACGCTATCTTTCGAATGAATTGAGATAGATGGCTAAAATTTTGCACACATGTTTATTTTTCCAGTAGGCAGGTTAAGTTCGTAAATGGGCCATGTAGGTCCACGTTTTCATATAGCTCCCATATAACGGTAACCCCCTATATTCGGTATTTTGATGATTTTAGCGACGTTATTCACCGGAATTGTTTCAAATTTGGTATTTGAAGTTCCAAATGGATACTGCACCCTAAGATAGAAAATTGTCTGTTGAAGTCTATGTCTTCGTATAGCCCCCATATAACGGTACCTCCCGATATTCGGTATTTTGATGATTTTAGCGACATTATTCACGGGAATTGTTTCAAATCTGGTATTTGAAGTTCCAAATGGATACTACACCCTAAGACAGAAAATTGTCTGTGCAGGTCCACGTCTTCGTATAGCCCCAATATAACGGTACCTCCCGATAATCGGTATTTTGATGATTTTAGCGACGTTATTCACCGGAAGTGTTTCAAAGTTGGTATTTGAAGTTCCAAATGGATACTACACCCTAAGACTGAAAATTGTCTGTGCAGGTCCACGTCTTCGTAGAGCCCCCATATAACGGCACCTCGCTATGTTCGGTATTTTGATGATCTTAGCGACATTATTAACCGGAATTGTTTAAAATTTGGTATTTGAATGTCGTTATGGGAACTACAGTCTGTGACAGAAAATTTTTGGTGCGGGTCCTGTTTCGAATTTGAATATGGTAATGGCTTATGACAAACAATGCATATGAATATCCACGTCGTATAGACCCCAATATAACGGCTATATTCGGTATTTTTAAAATTTTAACAGAATTTTTTAAGGATTTTATTTTTTGAAAATTTCCAAATTCGTTGCAAATGGTGGAGGGTATTAAACGTTCGGCCGGCCGAACTTACTGCTTTTTAACTTGTTACTTCTTCAAATGTGAATTTGTGCCAAGACGGCCAATGACTTATTCATTTCGGCCACCACTGTGCACTGCCTGGTTGGTTTTTGTCCGTACTAAAAAAAATATAAAAGCTTTGGTAAAGTCGTTCCCAAACAATTTTAATTAAAACATTCAAGACATTTATCAATAAAATCAAAATTGTTAGTTAGTCGTCAATCGATGTATGTACCCAGCGAACCAAACTGTCGATCCGGCTTTTGAACGAATGTTATATGGAGTGGTTGACGTCCGAATAAAGCCTTCTTTCAAACCGAGCTCGCAAGGAAGTTCATTCTGTTTGTAACGCCTCTAAATATTTGTCGTTGACCCCATAAAGTACATATGGTACATGATCAGCATAAAATTCTAAATCGATGTAAAGATGCCCGTCTGAAATCACGACACAGTCCACATTTTTTAACGTAGAGCTTTGAAATTAAGGTTGGATGGTTGGTATTGAGACATATCGGTCCACGTGCCTCCTGACATTTGGTATATTGATAATTTAGTCACATTTTTCCAAATTTGGTATTGAGAGTTTGAAACGAGTTCTTCCACTGGTAGCTGAAAATACATTGACAGTGGAGTATAGGTAGTTGCCCAGCAAGCAAAAAATATCCCGCAAATTAATTTTACATTGGTAGTCACGCCTAAGCGATAGAAATCATCGCGTTTGATATCGCTTTCTTAACCCAGAGGGAGCATTCTTCGAAATAAATGAACCACGCCCGCGATAGTTTTAAGCATGTCTAAATAGCGTTTACAGCGTCACTTCTGAAAATCGTGGAAGTCATTTCCCTGACAGTTGTTGGAAGTGAAAAAAAATATTTTTTTTACTCAAGACTTAAGCAATTATTTTTCTTGTTATTGCGCTGCAAGCATTTGGATGTGAGTAACTCACTTCCATTTTAAGATGCCACTTCTGTGACGCTTCTAATCCTAATAAATGCGATAGTATGCACATTTACAATAACAAAACTACTGTTGTCTACTTTCTATCCTCACGTAGTTACTACTTAGTGGCGCAAGAAAGTTAAAAGAAGGTGTCTCGTGTGCAGACACTATCTAGTGATTGCCATCGGATAAAACAGTGATAGTTTGCAATCATTCACGAATTGAACATAAATAAGACTATATTCTATCTGAGGAATATAAGACGCTGTGGCGCAGTGGTAAGCATGCCAGCTTTGCTCTCTGAACACCTCGGTTCGATTCCCAATCCAGACATCACGTTTTTAAAACGAAATGTTTGAAAATTTCATCTAATAAGTAAGAGTTCTATACAAATGAACATAGGAAAAAGTAACAATAACAATAAAAAAATAAATGCTTAAGTCTGAAGTAAAAAGAAAATTGTTTTTTTTCTCTTCCAATAACTAACGAGGAAGTGACTTCCACGATTATTAGAAAACTATCGCGGGCGTGGTTCATCTCTTCCCAAAGGATGCTCCTTCCGGGGTGAGAAAGCGATATCAAACGCGATGATTTCTATCGCTTAGGCGTGACTTCTTATTGATTTGGGGGATAGTTTTTGCTTGCTGGGTGGTACTTTTTCCAATGTACGTTTACATAGAACTTCCCAGCAAACAAAAACTATCCCCCGAATCACTTAGAAGTCACGCCTAAGCGATATAAATCATCGCGTTTGATATCGCTTTCTCATCCCGGAAGGAGCATCCTTCGTGAAGAGATGAACCACGCCCGCGATAGTTTTCTAATAATCGTGGAAGTCACTTCCTCGTTAGTTATTGGAAGAGAAAAAAAAACAATTTTCTTTTTACTTCAGACTTAAGCATTTATTTTTTATTGTTACCTTTTCCAATGTTCATTTGGATAGAACTCTTACTTATTAGGTGAAATACTCAAACATTTTTTTTCGTTTTAAAAATGTTATGTCTGGATTGGGAATCGAACAGACGTGTTCAGAGAGCAAAGCCGGCATGCTTACCACTGTACCACAGTGTATTAGAATAAAGTCTTATTTATATTCAATTCGTAAATGATGGCAAGCTATCACTGTTTTATCCGATGGCAGTCACTAGATAGTGTCTGCACACGAGACACCTTCTTTTAATTTTCTTGCGCCACTAAGTAGTAACTACGTGACGATAGAAAGTAGACAACAGTAGTTTTGTTATTGTAAATGTACATACCATCGCATTTATTAGGATTAGAAGCGTCGCAGAATTGGCATCTTAAAAAGGGAGTAACTGACTCACTTCCAAATGCTTGCTGGGTATAAACCGTAGCGCTAGCTAAACCCGTACATTCCCACAGTGAACTGCAAATCCCGAACGAATTCCGATCCATCTACAAAGATCTAGACATCGGTTGCCGAACCTACCCGCAACGAGCTGCCGATCCCAAATGAGTCTCTATCTATCTACAAAGACCTAGCCATATGTGGTCGAATCTACTCTCAAAGTGCTGTTGAAACCGAACGTATCCCGATATATCCTAGAAAACCTAGACATCTTCTTCCCAGGTACCTCCACAGTGAACCGCCGTTCTCTATTGTTAATAACCCGAGTCCACGTCTTCGAAGACCTGCAAATCAATATCCCAACCACCTACATCGCCTACCTCGATCTTTCGCCACTCGTCAACCTAATGAAGTTCCTGATAACCTTCAAATCGTCAACAACCCGCATCACCCGAACACAAACATCGTAATTCCTGACAACAGTCAAACTGTCGACAACAGACGACTACAAGTTCTCGATTACCTTCAAATCGTCAACGCCAGCGTCATCGTAGCATCACCAATCACCATCCGATAGTCATTCACAAGTACCCGATCACCCCAGGATCCTCGGCTAATCACAATTCACATCAACCACCAGAGTATCCATTGTGAATTCCTGATCATGAATTGAACAACACTACTTTGAATTTCGAAACATCTCCGGAGTCCATTCGTCATCATATATTCCATCCATTCCATATCTTATCGTATTTCAACCCGAGTAGATTGAAATTTAGTATTAATAATTAAATGGGAGAAATCTAATCTTACCCTGGGAACAGCTGAGCTTAACTCAGCCGACGAGAAACCACTTTACATAGTTTTACTTGTCTCTTTTTCACTTGCTTACGACAAATGCAGAAGAGAAAAAAATGCAACAAAACGAATAAAATCTCTTAACATTCGGACATACGCTGGACAAAACTTCAGACTTTGAGCGGGAGTGTCGGACATACGACATTTGGTTCGCTGGGTAGGTAGATGGTAATTTAGTGTGTATTGAATGCATGCATGTACGTGGTTGTACGCACTCACATATAACATGTTGAAAAGCAGTAAGTTCGGCCGGGCCGAACTTTGAATTCCCTCCACCAATTGGAACGAATTTGGAAATTTTCAAAAAATAAAACCCGTAAAATTTTTGTTAAAATCTTAAAAATACCGAACATAGCCGTTATATTGGGGTCTAACGACGTGGACCTACATAGGCATTGTTTGTTATAAGCCAATACCATAAAACGGGTATAATGTAGCATCTTCAAAATGCCGAATATCGGGAGGTACCGTTATATGGGGCCTATATGAAAACGTGGACCTACATGACCCATTTACGAACTTAACCTACATACTGGCAAAATAACCATGTATGCAAAATTGTAGCCTTCAATCTCAATTCGTTCGAAAGATAGCGTGATTACAACAGACAGACAGGCGGACATTGCTAAATCGACTTAGAATTTTACGCTGATCAAGAATATATATACGTTGTTGGGCCTGATATGAGTATTACGAGGAGTTACAAACGGAATGACAAAGTTAATATGTACCCTCCATAGAATGGTGGAGGGTATAAAAATATCTGAAACTTGAACAACGCATGAATGATCAATAAACAAACAAAGTCTTATCTGTATTTCATTTCGATATTTGATTCGCTGGTACCATTCAAATGGGACTTACTAACATTCTCCACGTCAATGTGTAATATAGCAGGTTTGCGTTGTTTTTGTTAATTAGACTACTTTGTTAAATAGCTGGCCAACAGTCATATCTTCGCTCGTTCGATTGTTGTTGTTATTTAATATTAATGCCTAACTCTTTTTGTCATTTGTTTCTTGAACCTTGCGGCGAAGAAGTAGATTTGTTGAAACATAGAATACAGCGTTGCTCACTCAAACCCCCATCCAATGGAAAGGTCATCCGAATTGAATTTCTTACAAACCGAATTAAATGCAGGTAACTTCGAATATTGTAGTCTTTAAATTTGCTTCTTCAAGAAATCTGCTCTCTTTTCAGCCAATGCCCAAAATGAACGTCTGATTGAGGAAAATGCACAATTGCGACGGGAACTGCAGCGTTTAGCTGACGAGGAGCGATCAAAATCGACCCTCAATGCGGAGCTGAAAATGAAGACGCTCCAACTGGAAAGCGAACGAGCCCTTTTGGTCGATGAAAATGCTCAGCTGCGACAAGATCTCCAGCGTTTGACCAATGACGATAAATCGAAATCTATCGTGAATGTGGAGACGAGACTGAAGGCATTCCAAATGGAAAATGAACGTGACAATCTGTTCGAACAACTTGAGAAAATAAAACGCAAATACAACCAGCTGCATGCGGCATTTGTGGCCAAAGTCCAACGTTGCAAGGCACTCGAAGATGTCTTCAATCGGCAGAAAACACTAAACGGATTAGTCATTAAGTCGGCAATAGTCCAAAAGGACAAGGGTATTTCATTAGGCTATCTACGGGTGTGCGAGATTCCAATAACCTTCGATATTTTCTAGAACAAAATATTAAATCGGCAAAGAGAGCTTCACCGAAGGAGAATAATGCGACAGTTGCCAATTTGCAGGAGCATGTTGCAAAGCTGCAAAACGAACTGGATGAGGCCCGCGATATAATCGACGAACTAGAATTTGAGTTAGAAAGTGTGAGTATTAAATTGTAGACCCTACCAAGTATATATATACTCTTGATCAGCGTAAAATTCTAAGGCGAGTTAGCCCTGGCCGTCTGTTGTAATCACGCTAAAGTCGAAAAGAATTAAGAAATACAACACATAAAAACAGATCAGTCTTTTGCCAGTAGGCAGGTCCAATTCGAAGATGGGTCTACGATATCGTATAGCCCCCGATATTCGGTATTTAAATAATTATAGCCACACTTTTGTCTAGAATTCGATATGTGAAACAATTGTGTAAATAGGCCTACGAATTTAAAATTACCCCCCAGATATTTGTCAATTTTGGTCCATTTTTCTGTGGAATTTTCTTCCCTTAAGTTCGCGTATTACCTCATGTCTAAGTTCACGTATTACCTCATCTCTATGCATTCGGTCAGATATTTTCATGGACCTGTTTCTAATATTAAACGGTAGTCTTAATAAACAATATTCATCACGCAATAATGGATCTAATTGGATTATATATTTTTATAATTTGACATTTTTCCTAAGAAAAAAATATTTTTCCCCTAATGGTGGAGGGTATCAAAAGTTGGTCCAGCCGAGAACTTAATTCCTTTTTACTTGTCAATAATTGGATTTTTCGTTTGGGACAGAGCACGAAAAAACCAAAAGTGGACATTAATCTCGTCTACTGTTCTTTAATATAAAAAATAGGGAAAGGTCAAAAGTTGGGTGGGCCGACTATATGATACCCTAAATCACTATGCATATTTAGTAGAGCTAATAGATAATACCAACTATGAACCTCATTTGAATGCGTATCATGGCTTTAGAGCAGTTATAATTTGCATTTAGAAGGAATTAATATAGGGTAAGTGTACCAGTAGTCGGCATTTTTAGAATTTTCAATGTTTCAATCTTTCAACATTCTGAGTGAAATCTTTCAATTGCAGAAAAATAAAGTTGTTCAGATTCCAAATTTTGTTTAGTTTTCGAAATAATAAACAACAATTGAATTTGTTTTTATTAAATTGGCAAAATTTGCAATTTTACTAAAATCGTAGTTTTTTGCCAGTAGTCGGCACCATTTTCTAATGCTCGGCATGTCTATTTGCCAGTAGTCGGCATATAGTATTTCAGTAAAAAATGTATTATTTTGTATTTTTTTATTTCTAATAGTATAAAACAATGCTATATTACTAATTCACAGTTCAATTAATTAATTTCGTTTTTAAATAGTGTTTTATTTAATTATCATTCGAAACCAAATATAGGTGGAAAATCAAGAATAGTATGGATTTTCAGTTAAAATAAAAATGAGATTAAATAAAAAAGAAAAAAGTACCTTTCTTATATTTGAAATTTGTGAATTGATCTCTTTCCTTTCTTCAAAAATGCCACCGCTATCTAAAACGTCAAATAGCTGATTTATAAAACCTACTTAACTCAGAAAAGTTGGTCAGAAAGCACAAATAAAAACAACAGCCGACACAAAAATATTTTTTATTTGTGTAGTTTTTGGATAATTTTTTAATAGTTTTCTCATGTTTTGGTAAAATGGGTCAAAAATTATATTTTTCTAGTAATCGGCACCCCCTGCCGACTACTGGCAAATCTCTTTTTTTTTTTGTTACTAATGTCGGCATTAAATAATATAACAGAAAAATGCTTGATTTGTAATTTTTTTAAGTTATAAAATGATCTTCAGACTGTTATTTACTTTAATAAAATATTTCTGATTCCAAAAGTATTAAATTTAATTTACTTAAATCGATTTTTAAGTTGACACCACCACTAATTTTTTCTTTACAAACGAGCACTATCGCACGCATTGGAAGTCACTCACTGACGAAAACCGTTATTCTCTCGTAATAAATGATCGGAGCTCATTTTTTTTTTTTTTTTTTTTTTTTACAGAAAGAGTGCAGAGGACACTGTTGGCGTTTTTTTTTTGCAATTATTTCATTATTTGGTCAATTCTATTCTTAGTTATTTAAGTTTTAATTTCAAAACTGCCGACTACTGGGACATGCCGACCTTAGGCGCACTTACCCTATGGGAGTTATATCTAATTCTGAATTGATTTTCACCAAGTTTGACAAAGGCATATTTATCCCTCATACCAAATAACATTGCTATAGGATTTCGAGAAGGATCTTGTTAAAAAAATATGTATATATCGCAGCCGAAGCTATATCTAAAATCGCACCGATTATCATCAATATCATCGCAATTGACGTACGGACATCCATAATTCGTCTCAGAAAGTTATGCCAACGGTAACTATGGGTCTATCCCGTTTCCTTCTCCATGTTACAAACAAATGCACTCGGAAATAATACCACGACCACAGTGTGGTGTGTGTAGGGTATACAAATTTTTGTTCAAATGATATTATTTTCAATAATTACGGTGAAGAAGATTTGAATGTTTACATCGAAAAATAACCAAAATAGAGGGGGAAATTTCTTATTCCAAACTTTCGGATTAAGATTTCAACTATCTACCATAGGTCTTAGAAGACGTCAAAAGTTTAAATCTTACATAAACGTCAAGAATTCATATGTGTTAAAAATACATTTTAGAGGTAAAACCGTACATTGTGGGAGTTTGTACAAAAATCTCCAATAAAGCATCATTTTGCAAGGATTGGCGTCATCCTTATTTAATCAAATTCTCTGTTTCCACTTTATATCAAAAAATATTTACATCAATTTAAAATCAGTTTAAAATTAAATTCCAGGCGATAGGTGCCAAAAAAAGAAATATTTTACACAAAATTGCACTATAAATCTCAGAATAAACCATATATTTAGGAACATACCTTTTACGAAAAATACACTCAAAAATGTATGTACTACAATTGAAAATTATGACCTTGCTTTTTACTGTTAATTTAACATGTATCCAATCCAAGTCAACATTTTTCTTTAGACTTTAAACGTATTACTCTAGATCGAATTTCATTATGAGTTTCTGGACAAAAGAATTTTTTATATTCAATATGTACCGTGGAAAAATATAATCAATCTTTGTTAATAAAAAAACCTTGTTTATTTCTGAAAATGTTTGCCCTTTTATCCAATTCGGTGCAAAATTTCTTATAATTTCACTGTACGAGGGCGGTTCGGAATCTTCTTAGCCTATCAATGAAAGAGAATAGTCAGTTTTTCAAAATTATTATTATTTTTCAATATAATCTCCTAAAACTCCCAATGCTGGTTTACAACTGTAATTACATCTTTATTTGAGGTAAAACCCTTGCCAGCAAGGATTTTTTTTAGATTTGGGAACAAGTAAAAGTCACGGGGAACTAAATCAGAAGAATAAGGTGGGTGGTCAAGCATCTCGTAATTCGTTGATTTTAGCCTTTGTTAAAACACTCTTGCGAGCTGGTGCGTTGTCTTGATGGAGAATTATTATTTTTTTTTGTTTTGTAAGTCGAGATCCATGATCCATCCAGGTTCCATGTCTCATCAACATTTATGAAACGGCGCCTAAAATCCACTTTATTTCGCTTAAATCGATCCAAACAAGCTTGAGACATGTTCATTGTTATGCGTTTTTGATCGACTGTTATTAAATGCGGCACCCATCTTGCAGAAATCTTTTTCATCTGTAGTTCTTCATGCTAAATTAAATGGACTCAATCATATGAGATGCCCATGATACGAGTATTAGCAATTTCAGGCACTTTTATTCGTCGATCATTTAATACCATATCATGTACTTTGGCTGCAATCCTAGCTTTGTTGTTGTTTTTGGACGTCCACTACGTGGTTCATATTCAATTCTTGTACGACCACGTTTAAATTCAGCAAACCAATACAGGGTTGCCCATATTCGACGGACCTTTGCGCCCATTCCAATCGACAAGGCTTATCCGCAGGCAACATTCTTTGCGTCAATTGAATTTTGTACGGGAACAAATGCAAATCAATGCGTATAATCCGTTGTAAAGTGGACCGAGCCATGCCCAACTGCTGAGAACGGCGTTTTTGGGATGTTCTTGGGGACCTCTCAACACTGGCTCGTACGGCAGCGATATTCTCGGCCGATCGCCTTGGTCGACTTTTATATGGCCTCTTCGGATTAGAAAGAGCCTTACCAGTTGAAAATTTTTCGTATAAACGCTTAATGGTGTTCTTAGAAGGCACACTTCTCACATTTTTTAATGTTTTAAAAGCACGTTGAGTTTTCACAATTGACTTCTTCTGTTGAATGTAAATTTCAACTATTTCAGAGCGCTCGCGTGGCGTGTATTGGTTCATGGTAAAAATCTGCTTGGACTGACGCTTCAAACGCGGTATGTCATTAAGCGATGTGACATCTCTGTCAAAAGTTATGGCGTTGCCAGATGGGTCCGTCGAATATAGGCAACCCTGTATTCATACCCTACACCACATAGTGGTAAGGGTATTATGTCTTTGTGGATTTGTTTGTAACATGGAGAAGGAAGCGAGATAGACCCATAGTTACTTTTGAGGATCTCCATAGAATCACTTTCTGAGTTGATTTATGCATGTCAGTCCGTCTGTCCGTCCGTCTGTCCATGCATTCTTGTGAACAAAATGCAGGTCGCATTTATTATCCGATTGAGATGAAATTTTCCAAACAACATTTGTTTGGCCCAAGGACGAACCTTATTGAAATTGGAGATAATCGGTAAAAATTTAGATATAGCTCCCATATATATCTTCGTCCGATTAACCCTTTATTGTGCACCAAACGTCTAATATTTTCCCAAATGGGATGTAATTTGGCACATGCGACTCAATTGAGTCTAGAAGCTAGCATGCCAAATTTGGTAAAGATCGGCTCAGATATAGCTATAGCTCCCATATATATTGTTCATCCGATTTGTTGTATTTGTTACCCACAGTCGTAATATTCAACGATATTCAGGGAATTATATCAAATAGATCGGTTCAGATTTGAATATAGCTCCCATATATCTCTATTTGATTTCAAATTAATTTTACACCAAATGGGCAATACAAGTCCGAATTTAAAAGATACAAATG